AGCCATTTAACATATGAAATCTTCAACAACACATGTTCAAATATAATGCAATGGCTTATATTATCAAACATGCTTATGGATATTGTGAAAAAGAAAATCACGATTATCAAACATTTTAAGTCTGAACGTACTAATACCATGAACCTTTCAAGTCTTAATGTTACCAAGGAAGCCCTGAGATAACTTCGAGTACAAGTCGACCAAACAAGCATCCCCTCAATTGTACTCATGGATCCGCTCAAATTCCGCAAAGTATCGTAAGTAGAGGACATCCGCATAAATGGAACTCTTGTCCATAAAAATGACAGTTTGTATGCTCTCATTGCATACGCTTTATGCTACCTTACTTACTCCTTATCATCTTTAGCCTGCTATGCTTTAAGAAGCTCATATGTATATACCTTTTTCAAGAATTCTAACCTAGAATTAGCCCTTAAAATTTTTTCAAACTCCCTCAAGGAAGCATCTTGGTAAACTCCCAAATAGTATACCATCAACACAAGTGGTTGCTAATCCTTCCATGATCTAAAAGCTTCCACCTAATCAGAAGATACAACAAATACGACACATCATTAAGTGTGATAGATATCTCTCAAAGTGGTAGATGAAATGATGAGGTCTCTGTAAGCCATATCTCTATATTGCATTAAGCATCATGTTGTTCACTGTAACATAACCATTCTTGCATAAGTCTTTCATCCCAGATAGTTGTAAAGCAACCAAAAACCACTCGTCACTAGGATGATGCAAGCTAGTAATCTTCTGCCCATAGTTAATGAATTTCAGCAGATCACGGTCTAAGAGAAATATAAATTATTGTCAGAAACTTATAATATAATAATAAACGTAATTTAAATGGAATGAATCCAACTAATTTTACCTCTCCATTCCATATATAAATGGCATTGTGGTCTGGGTATGGGGTGACATTGGTGCCTTAGGTACCTCCGGAGACTCGTGTACCTCTGGCGCATACGGGAAGATGCATCACTAGGTGACACTCATCTCCTATGGGAAGAAGAAGATGGAGATATATTAGCTCCATAATTCGATGCCTCCGCATCAACCAGGTTAGAGGGAACAAAAGCTTGTGAAACCTAACTCTTTTCCCTTCAGACAGATGCATGTTGTGTAATCATGTCGTACATCAACATGTTGTCTCTATCAGCCATAATACTTGTAAGTAAATCAGACAAGTGTCACACAATTATTACAAGCAACCCTGCAAGCCAGAAAAGCAAAAAAGAAATGTAGACTGATAAAGTACAGATATACATCTCCGGTTCTTGGGAATCCAAAGGTTGAAAAAATACAGTGATGCATCTCCAAAATTTCCTACAACTTTCATTTCGTCAATGGCGCTAATGTAGATCACCAATAACCTAAAAGTAATGCATTGATCATTACTTTTAACTATGAAACACATTTTTCATAATGTATCAACTATCAAACATGCATAAACTATGTAATTCAATACCTAATAATCAATTCATACAAATTTATATAAAATTTCAAAAAAATGTACAATAATAAAAAATTTATAAGAAGTGGGGAATCTTTGAAGTTGATGTAGTTGAATGAGCTCTTTGCATCTCCGGTTCTTGGGAACCCAAAGGTTGAAAAAATACAGTGATGCATCTCCAAAATTTCCTACAACTTTCATTTCGTCAATGGCGCTAATATATATCACCAATAACCTAAAAGTAATGCATTGATCATTACTTTTAACTATGAAACACATTTCTCATAATGTATCAACTATCAAACATGCATAAACTATGTAATTCAATACCTAATAATCAATTCATACAAATTTATATAAAATTTCAAAAAAATGTACAATACTAAAAAATTTATAAGAAGTGAGGAATCTTTGAAGTTAATGTAGTTGAATGAGCTCTTTGCATCTCCGATTCTTGGGAATCCAATGGTTGAAAAAATACAGTGATGCATCTCCAAAATTTCTTTCAACTTTCATTTCGTCAACGGCGCTAATGTAGATCACCAATAACCTAAAAGTAATGCATTGATAATTACTTTTAACTATGAAACACATTTCTCATAATGTATCAACTATCGAACATGCATAAACTATGTAATTCAATACCTAATAATCAATTCATACAAATTTATATAAAATTTCAAAAAAAATTTACAATATCAAAAAATTTATAAGAAGTGAGAAATCTTTGAAGTTGATGTAGTGAATGAGCTCTTTGCATCTCCGGTTCTTGGGAATCCAAAGGTTGAAAAAATATAGTGATGCATCTCCAAAATTTCCTACAACTTTCATTTCGTCAATGGCGCTAATGTGGATCACCAATAACCTAAAAGTAATGCATTGATCATTACTTTTAACTATGAAACACATTTCTCATAATGTATCAACTATCAAACATGCATAAACTATGTAATTCAATACCTAATAATCAATTCATACAAATTTATATAAAATTTCAAAAAAAATGTACAATAATAAAATTTTTATAAGAAGTGAGGCATCTTTGAAGTTGATGTAGTTGAATGAGCTCTTTGCATCTCCGGTTCTTGGGAATCCAAAGGTTGAAAAAAATACAGTGATGCATCTCCAAAATTTCCTACAACTTTCATTTCGTCAATGGGGCTAATGTAGATCACCAATAACCTAAAAGTAATGCATTTATAATTACTTTTAACTATGAAACACATTTCTCATAATGTATTAACTATCGAACATGCATAAACTATGTAATTAAAACCTAATAATCAATTCATGCAAATTTATATAAAATTTTAAAAAAATGTACAATAATAAAAAAATTTATAAGAAGTGAGGAATCTTTGAAGTTGATGTAGTTGAATGAGCTCTTTGCATCTTCGGTTCTTGGGAATCCAAAGGTTGAAAAAATACAATTATGCGTCTCCAAAATTTCCTACAACTTTCATTTCGTTAATGGCGCTAATGTAAATCATCAATAACCTAAAAGTAATGCATTGATCATTACTTTTAACTATGAAACACATTTTTCATAATGTATCAACTATCAAACATGCATAAACTATGTAATTCAATACCTAATAATCAATTCATACAAATTTATATAAAATTTCAAAAAAAAAATGTACAATAATAAAATTTTTATAAGAAGCGAGGAATCTTTGAAGTTGATGTAGTTGAATGAGCTCTTTGCATCTCCGGTTCTTGGGAATCCAAAGGTTGAAAAAAATACAGTAATGCATCTCCAAAATTTCCTACAACTTTCATTTCGTCAATGGCGCTAATGTAGATCACCAATAACCTAAAAGTAATGCATTGATCATTACTTTTAACTATGAAACACATTTCTCATAGTGTATCAACTATCAAACATGCATAAACTATGTAATTCAATACTTAATAATCAATTCATACAAATTTATATAAAATTTCAAAAAAAAAATGTACAATAATAAAATTTTTATAAGAAGTGAGGAATCTTTGAAGTTGATGTAGTTGAATGAGCTCTTTGCATCTCTGGTTCTTGGGAATCCAAAGGTTGAAAAAATACGGTGATGCATCTCCAAAATTTCCTACAACTTTCATTTCGTCAATGGCGCTAATGTAGATCACCAATAACCTAAAAGTAATGCATTTATAATTACTTTTAACTATGAAACACATTCCTCATAATGTATTAACTATCGAACATGCATAAACTATGTAATTAAAACCTAATAATCAATTCATGCAAATTTATATAAAATTTCAAAAAAATGTACAATAATAAATAAAATTTATAAGAAGTGAGGAATCTTTGAAGTTGATGTAGTTGAATGAACTCTTTGCATCTCCGGTTCTTGGGAATCCAAAGGTTGAAAAAATACAATTATGCGTCTCCAAAATTTCCTTTAACTTTCATTTCGTTAATGGCGCTAATGTAAATCATCAATAACCTAAAAGTAATGCATTGATCATTACTTTTAACTATGAAACACATTTCTCATAATGTATCAACTATCAAACATGCATAAACTATGTAATTCAATACCTAATAATCAATTCATACAAATTTATATAAAATTTCAAAAAGATGTACAAATAATAAAAAAGTTATAAGAAGTAAGGAATCTTTGAAGTTGATGTAGTTGAATGAGCTGTTTGATGTCGTCCGAAGATGATTGAAGAAATTTTAATGTTGCTTGATTAATTTTTAGAGAATTTTAGAAAAAACTTTATTTTTTAACAAGTGAGAAAGAAGAAGGATTTTGACATGTTATGTACAAGCAGCGTTTGAAGATATATCTTTGTAATATTTACGAAAACGCATATCCGTAATTTTTTCACTTTAAATCAAACTTCTATTTATTTAAAATATGTCCAAAAATAAATTTCCAAAATCTGTGGACACTTTTATATTTTCAAATTGTTCCTATTAATACATAAGATACATTCAAAATTTCCAAAATAAAAAACATTATCAAATACGCTGTTGACCTTTACCTACAGGCAAAAGCCTCTAATGACAAATCATGTCCGTCACTAAAACAAAACTTAAATAGGATGCTTTGATAAATTAAATTGAAAAGTTCGGGTAGTTAGAGAGTAAATTTAAAAAGAGGTTATCGAAATTTTATTTTAATTATGTACAAATTATTAATAATTTTAAATCAAATAAGCTAAAAAGGTGTAATATAGCCAAGATTTTGTTATCTAGCCGTGAACGTTACGACAAAGTGGTCCAAGGTAGAGTAAATATATTTCATACTTGTGCCACAATCTTTTGTTTTATCTACTTCCAAAACAACTAGACATAGCCTCTGTTTTCTCCAAAACCACTCGGCAAGTCGGCATAGCCTCAGTTTTCTCTAAAACCATGTTTGTTTCCGGTTTATCTTTATCTTATTCTACCGATCTCCTTTATTCATATAAATAAGAGCAGCCATCATTCATTTTTTCTTCATCAATCAATCAACCACACTTTCTTATTTACCCTACAAAACAAGATCTTAAACATCTTATCCGAAATACTCTGATATATATCATGATGAATCGTGCAACAACCACAAGCAAGGCTTGGATCGTGGCGGCTAGTGTTGGAACTGTAGAGGCTTTGAAGGATCAAGTTGGTATCTGCAGATGGAACTATGCTTTAAGACAGGCTCAACAGCACCTTAGAAACCGTGTTAGATCGTATTCTCAAGCAATGAACTTCTCTTCTTCTTCAGCTGTTGCTTGCAAATTGAAGGATGAGAAGAAGGCAAAGCAGGCAGAGGAGTCACTGAGGACTGTCATGTACTTGAGCTGCTGGGGTCCCAATTGATTCATTGCTACATTCATACTATGCTAAATTTGTAACATCATCCCGCAATATGTATAAAAGACTTTTTCTTTTTGATATGTGATTTTGATAACTGAAGCAAATAAATACTATTAATAGGCCACTATCTCTTGGCCTTCCAACTACAACAGACTCTCTCTATTTCTACTAACTTATTAATAGAAACCCATTTAATATAACATTAAAGTTTATTCAACAAAACTTTCTTGTAAACTTAAATGTTTCTACTATCCTCTATGCCAATCATTTTCTTACATTTATCAAAGAATACTTTTGGTAGTGATTTTGTAAAGATATTTGCAGCTTGATCCTTACTCGCCACATGCGTCAGTTCTACATTTCATTCTTTCACATGGTTTCTGATAAAATAAAAACGAACGTTTATGCGTTTGCTTCTTTCATGGTTTACTGGATTCTTTGTTAGCTCAATTGCAGATTTATTGTCAATTCGAATCTCCGTTGCACTATGCTGCTTCAGATCCATCTAGTTCAACAATTTTCTAAGCCATATTGCATGACAAGCACACAAAGATGCTGCTACATATTCAACTTCACATGTCGAAAGTGTTACTATCGGTTGCTTCTAGAAAAACAAGTAATTGCAGTATTTCCTATGAAGAACACATATCCTGAAGTGCTTTTCCGATCGTCTATATCTCCGCACCAATCATTGTTGGAGTAACCAACCAACTTGTAATCTTTTGTTCTTGAGTAAAACATTCCAAATGACAACGTTCCTTGGATGTACATGAGAATTCGCTTCAATGCCTTCCAATGTGAATGTGTTGGCTCCTCCATGAATCGACTTGCAATTCCGACACTTAAAGAAATGTTTGGGCTTGTACATGTGAGATAACGAAGACTTCCCACCAGACTCCTGTATCTACCTGCTTCGACTCGTTCTTCTCCATCGAATTTCGACAGCTTTGCACCTAGTTCCATTGGTGTCGAAACTGGATTAAAATCTTTCATTTTGTATCTTTTCAGGATTTCCTTTGCATTCGTCTCCTGTGATATGAAGATTCCTTCCTCCACATGTCTAACCTCCAGTCCAAGAAAAAATTTCATCAGACCCAAATCTGTCATCTCAAATTCTCGTGTCATTTTGCGTTCTTCTATTATCTGATCATTACTACCCAGGAAGATGAGATCATCGACATAGAGAGCAACAAACAACATGTTACCTCCATTCTTATTTACATAAAAAGCATGCTCATAAGGACATTGCTTGAACCCATTCTCCTTGAAATATGTGCCGATACGTGTATTCCATGCCCGTGGTGCTTGCTTCATCCCATAAAGTTCTTTCTTCAATTTTAGCACCTTCTTATCTTCTCCAGCATTTATATACCCAAGTGGTTGTTCGACATAGACTTCTTCTTCTAGCACACCATTTAAAAATGCAGACTTGACATCCATTTGAAATATTGGCCATTTGTATTGAGCAGCTTGTGAGATTAGTAGTAGAATTGTCTCCATTCTAGCAACTGGAGCAAATATTTCGCCATTGTCAATTCTTGCCTTCTGCTCGTATCCCTTCGCAACAAGTCGTGCCTTATATCGTTCCACTTCGCCTTGAAAATTCATATTTTTCTATAATACCCACTTTAGGTTGACTTCCTTTTGGAAATTCGACCAGCTCCCATGTGTCGTTGTGGTAAATCGCTTCAATCTCTTCGTTTATGGCAGTTTTCCACTTATTGTCTTGCAATGCTTCTTCGAAACTGATGTTTTCAGCATCTGCCAAAAGACATACAAGGTTCACCTCACTTGTCGAATCATACAAATCTTGCAAACTTTGCATTATGGGTTGTCGAACTCCATCTTCACTGTCAGTAGTTTCAGAGTTTGTTGGTGTGCTAGTTGGTACATTGGCTGATGATTCTCCTGCTTCGACAATAGTTTCTGTCGAATTGTTCCAGTCCCATCTGCTTGACTCATTTATTCACACATCTCGACTCACTATCACCTTCTTGCTTGTTGGGTCAAGTAGTTTGTACCCTTTTGTCTTCTCATCATATCCAATAAATACATACCTTTTGCTTTTGTCTTCAAGCTTTGTTCTTCGTTGATTTGGTACATGATCATAAGCCACACTACCAAACACTTTTAGATGAGAAACGGTTGGTTTCTTTCCACTCCATACCTCTTGTGATGTTTTATCATCTAGCTTCACATGAGGACATCTATTTTGAACATAAATGGCACGTTGTACAACCTCTTCCCAGAACTCCTTCCTTGCTCTTGAGCATTGAACGAACCATGTCGAGAATAGTTCTGTTATTCCTTTCAGCCACACTGTTTTGTTGAGGAGAATATGGCGCAGTTAAAAATCTTCTTATGCCTTCCTTCTCACAATAGTTCATCAAATCTTTCGAAGTATACTCACCACCTCTGTCGGGCCGAACAACCTTGATATGTCTATTAGCTGCCTTCTCCACCATTACTTTGAATTTCTTGAACACTTCAAATGCTTCAGATTTTTCTTTTAAGAAGTAAACCCAGGTCTTTCGTGAGAAATCGTCGATAAAAGAAATGAAGTACCTTTTGCCACTGAATTATTCTGGAGTGATTGGCCCACATATGTCAGTACGAACCAGTTCCAGAATATGTTCAGCTTGATATTCTATCTTCTTTTGAAATGAGGTTTTTGTTTGTTTGCCAAGAACACATTCTTCACAAAATGTGCTCTCATACTCTATGTCTGGTAGCCCGTGCACCATGTTCTTTTTCGCCAACCTTCTCAAACCAGCATGATGTAGATGACCAAAGCGTAGATGCCATAGTGACGCATTGTCTTCGACATTGACTTGCAAACATTTTTCTCGAACGCTTCTCAGATTCACTTTATACATTCGATTTCTTTCTATTTCGACCCGAGCAATCAGATGCCCTAGCTTGTCCTTCAAATGGAGTATCCGATCTTTTATAAGTATCGAATAGCCTTTTCTGTAAGTTGCCCCAAACTCAAGATGTTGGTCTTAAGATCTAGTATATAATAAACATCTTGGATCGATCCAATCGAGCCATCTTTCTGTAAGTAACAAATTGTACCCTTGCCTTCCACCTTCACCTTCGATGCATCCCCAAATGACACATGATCATCCTCAATATTTTGCATCTCTTTGAACAGATATTCATGACCACACATATGGTTTCTTGCCCCTGATTCTAGGTACCACAGAGTGTTATTGGTGTTGATTCCATTTTGAGCCATCAAGAGAAAACCTTCATTCGCTTTAGCTTCCAAAACTAGATTGGTTGTTTCTTCTACCTTCTTTTCGACTCGACAAACTTTTGCAAGATGTCCCACTTTACTACAGTTATAACATTTGTAGGAGTTGAAATCCTTTGCGTAATGACCATACTTCCCACACTTGTAGCATTCGAAGTTGGAGTAATTCGACCTGCCACCTCTTCCTCGACCACGTCCTCTTCCACACCAGTTTGGTTGATTCGACTGTCCCTTCTTTTTACTATATCCTTCAAGATTGTTGTTTTGACCACTTCAACCACTTTCACGACCCCCACGACCACGTCTTCTACCTCTAAAATTTTGAGAGTAGAGTACCTTTTCGTCTTTGATTGACTCATTGGTTTGATGTGCTTCCTCAACTGCTCCCTCCTTCTTTTTTATCTTACGTTGTTCGTGTGCTTCGAGAGAACCAGCGAGCTCTTCGACTGAGAGCGTCGAAGGGTCCTTCGACTCTTCTATTACACACACAATATTCTCAAATTTATTTGTTAAAGATCTCAGAATATTTTCGACAATTCGTGCATCAGTCACCATTTTGCCAATTCTAGTGAGTTGATTCACCACTGTTTGTACATGCGTGATGTAGTTAGATATAGTTTCTGACTCCTTCATCTACATCCTCTCCAATTCACCATGAAGAGTTTGTAGTCGAACTTGCTTCGCTCGGTCTGCTCCTTTGAACACTTTTTCTAACGTGTGCCATGCTTCTTTCGACATAGTCGAACTGACAATTTTTTCAAAGCCTGATAAATCAACTGCTCAGAACAGCATGCACAATGACGTCTTATCCTTTGACCGTGTCTCTTTCAACGCCGTGCTTTGAGCTGCTGTATATCCCGCAGTGTCTGTTGGTTCTTCAAACCCATCTTTGGTCACCTCCCACACATTTAGAGATCCAAGAAGAGCTTTCATTTGGATACTCCAATTTTCATAATTTGACTTTGTTATTTGCAACAACGGCATTTGACTCTTCACGTTTGCCAATTTCTCTGATGCCAATTTGATAACAGAAGCACTACTTTTATATATTCTATTGAAATGAAAATACAACCTTGGCTTTTATATAGACCCAAAGATTTATGATATTCTAGGAAATTAAAAGCAAATAAATACTATTAATAGAACACTATCTCTTGATCTTCCAACTACAATAGACTCTTTTTCTTTCCACTAACTTATTAATAGAAATTCACTTAACATTGACATTTATTCAACAGTTCATACATGACTCAAAACTGCACAGCCTGCGAAGATATTGCTTTATTTAACAATTTTCAAAGTGATTTTAAATTTATAATAAAAGGAAAAATAAAACTGATCATATAAAAAAGTTTTTAGACTTAAAAAATCATCCTATTTTGGTTCTTCCAGAGGGAGAGCCTTCCAATAGGGTAATCGAACCATTAAGTTCGAGGCGGCTTGATCACTAAGGCAATTTCACATAGCTATGTCGGAGATAGGTTCTAATTTTCTAATGTCTATTTCTAGCCTTGCTCAACATTTAAAAGATTGAAAGATTGAAATTTTTAATGTATTTTTAGAAGAAAAAGGGAGCTTCTTGCTAGGTTAAACATGATTCAAAATAGTGCCAGTTATGGGTATAATAATTTCCTTGAAGTTTTTTGTAGAAGGAAATTCAAGACAAGCTTACGCTAACCCTCTGGGCCTCTACCAAAAAGAGTGAATTTTGTTTCAAAAGTCTCGTAGCAAGTGGATTGCAGATAGT